ACCTTTTAATTATTTTGAACCTGGCTGTCCATGTCAGGAACTTTAGACTTACATCTGCCTCCTGCATGGTGCCCCACAGCTCCATTAGGCAGATGTACATAACTAAATAACGCCCACTTGAAACTATCACAGGGATGAACATCCTTATCTCTTTGAACATTTATCCAATTATTTCCTTTTCCTTGTGATAAATTCCTAAAAACAGGATATAGAACTTTATGCTTTTAAACACATAACACAATAATCTCTTGAAGGATTATGTCCATTTACAATTCCCCATCTTTCCCAAACCTCCTACATTCACTCTAGGCTCATTTGCCTACATCTTTATCAACTCTGGGCATAATCACTCAGATTTTTGCCAGCTTCATAGAGTAAGACCATTCACTGATGTCTTCATTTGCTTTTCTTCTGTTACTAGTGAGGCTGAACCTCGTTTTCTATGCTGTGAGTCATTGGTAGTTCTTCTGTGAATATCTGTTGTCTGTTTTCTTTTGCGATGTTAATATATTCTATTTTAAGAATGTTCATATATCAAAGATTTTAGTAATCTCTCATGTGTATTGCAAAAATTTCCCCCATGTGTTCCTTTCTTATTTGAGCCTCACAGCAATCCCAGAGAGTAGGCAGAGCAGGTGCTATCCCCACTTCATTGATGTGGAAACTCTGACTCAGAGGGAAATGATTGCCCTTGGGAAGAGGCCACGGGAGGCCTTATTTCCTCATTCTGAGTGTGATGCCCCAAGCTGCCCCACCGGTGTCCATAGTGCACTGGTGACATTTGTTAGGAGTATAGGAGAAATAGTGTTTCCCCATACAAATCAAATGCCTTAAATATTTGGGCCTATTTCCTCTGAGAATGAAAAATCAGTGATAAACTGAATACTCTCTTTGATCATCTTCAACTCAACTGTCCTCTGAACCTCTGAGTATCCATCAACTAGGCTAATCCATCTAAGTTTATTTTAGTAGAAGTTATGGAGTAAGAATACAATTTTTAAAAATACCTTTGTGTTCATCAAGTTTCAAGTAGCTTTTAGCAGTCTCCACCAGCACATGGTAAAAGTTTTATAGAACAGGCCTTCCTTGGTGGTGCAGCGGGTTAAAGCATAACACTGCAAGCTGGCTGCAGCCACTTCAGTGCGAGTTCAATCCCTGGCCCCGGATGTGACCACATGGTACAGCAGACATCTCCTGTTGCGCCTGCTACTCTCTTCAGCAGAGTACTTTGTCAGTCTGCCTGTCCTGTTCCCCACTCTGAATCCTCTGACCCTGCTCTTCTGGCCTGTACCCCAGTTCTGTCTGCATAAATAAATAAATCTTTCAAGTTTTATAGAATATGGGCCTGTTTCCATATTTTCATTTGAGGTTTGATCTGTTAGACACTATGTAAGCAGCACTGTGCTTTTTAAAAATGGCAAAGACTTCATAATACATTATAATGTAGGTAAGGCAAGTTCTTCCTCCTGGCTCTTTTCTCAACTCTTCCTTTATTGCTCCTTTATCTTTCCTGTTACTATTTTTCACATTTATTTTTCCAGATTATTTCATAATCTTTTTGTTGAGCTCCCCCAAAATGCAAATGCATTTTTAAAAGTAAGGTTTATTGAAGTGTGTATATATATTTTAAGGAAGTGTTCAGTGAGTTTTGATTAACATAGCCAGCAACAACTACAATAAGACATTGATCATTTCCATCATGCCCCAAAATCCCTTTGTGCCCCTGGCAGCCATTTGCCATCTCAGTATTATCTAAACTGCATTGAACATTGAGAAAATTAGTATATTGACATGAGTCTGCTCATCAAGAAGCAAACTGTGCTTGTTATCTATTAATATTGTGAATTAAAAAATATATTTATGTGTACAAGAACTGGGGTACAGGCCAGGAGTGGGGGGAGTGAGGATTCGCCAGAGGCAGAGTGGGGAGCAGAGCAGCATAATCTACTGAAATACACTGCTGAGGGGAGTAGTGGGGAGACAGGAGAGGCCTGCTGTGCTGGATGGGTCAGATCCCTGGCTAGGAATTAAACTCATGCTGTGGCAGTGGATAGCTTTAAAGTTCCAGGTCTTAACCCCTTGCACCACCAGGGAGGCCTAGAATCATGCATTTTTCTGTCAAGTTTTATAATTTTCCTCTAGACTCCTAGTGATTATTACATTTATTCTAGTATTGATTATGTGGTTATTGTGAATTTAATCATCTTTCCATTATATTTCCTATCTGGTTGTTATGACACATAGTATACATATTGATTTTATGTTTCTAACTGGACACTGATTTGATACATAAAACATTCAAAAGAGGGTATAACTTTAGGTGCACCACCTGGCAAGTGGTTAAGGCAGAATGATTTAAAAACTGATCTATCTTTATTTCCCCATGATAATCTGCCCCTTAGAGGTGTTCTCCAGTGACTGAGTCTATGTGTCCCTGGTACTTAGCTCCAAATAATTTTTTTTTAAATGCTGAATTAAACAGTGAATCACGAAATGGTCTGGTTGTAGGCCCCCACTTCCAGGCAGGGCTTCGTATGGGTAGGTGGTGGTGCCTTATGTACTTGCTGGGTCAGGAGACCTGGACCAGCAGAAAGAAAAACAGCCATGGAAAGTCCAAGGCTTTCCAGTTTTAGACACTGGGTGCTTGCCTGTCCTTGCTGAGAATGGAAGTTGGGCCTTGGGGGGCTGTCTACTGTAACTAAACCTTACTAGAGCCTGCACTCACCAGGAGATGAGCAGATGTAACCCCAGTTCCACCAATTACATCATCCCTCTCGTCAGCCTGATGATCTTTAGGCCAACTGGTGATCACATGGTCCTCAATTTGGCTTCCATTCAATTATTTCAAAATGCCCGAATGAAAATACTGCATTTAGTCTTAATAAGGCCTCACAGGCTAACTGTATTTTTCTTCTCACTGGAACTATATGAATTTAGTGGAAAAACCATTGGTACCCTATGCTGAACACAGTCCCGACAGACTGTGATGTATGTCTTTGATTAAACAGTTTTAAATGGAGCAATCAAATAGCTACCAGGAAATGGAATGTTTATTAGAATATAACTTTTTCAAATTATATTCAATGGAAGCAAAATTAATTAAAGAGCTTCCTAGTCAGGGCAGATTAATTACCTTAGTTTTAGTTTTCCCTTCCCTATTGGAGAAAAATCGGCAGGCTCTGTAGCACAGGGAGGGTAAAAGATCAGATTGCTTAGTGCAGTGGTTCTCAGATATGCTCTCAAATGGTCATAAGCAGCCCTTGGGGCCTATTAACCTGCAGTGGCTCCAGACACTGCACCAGTCAGCCCCCCGCAGCCTGGTTCTGCTGGTCCAGGGAGCACCCGGGAAGTGAAGCTGGGCAGGAGTTCTAGCATTAGCTTTGTGACAAGCTTGCAGCCAAGTCCCCACTGGGCCCTCCTGTCCTACCCTCTCCTATCCAGGATGTGCTGGATGGTCTCTGCCACATCTGACACCCTGATAACAAAACCATTTCAAGGTTACCAGACCACAGTACACAGTAATGCAGAGCCCAGGCCTCTTAGTAAGACCTCTCGATTCTGGGAGGCTCTCACACGTCTGCAAAGTTCAGGGGGGTGCTTACCTTGGATGGAAATGGATAGAGTCACCAAGTGCAGACCTACCCAAGAATACTTGAGATGGCTTAAGTCTAAGGGCCCCTGGCTTATTCCATAAAAAGGGACGCCATCAGGCGCGAGTCATCGGAGCGGCCCCTCAGTCTGATTGGCAAGGGGCAGCTGCTGCTGGCTGCAGGCAACGGACATACTTGCTCCTTTACTTCTCTGCCTCCTCAGTGTCCTGGGCCCCACAAAGCCTCTGAGCAAACTTCTCCATCACGAAGACCCCGTCTTCCAACTTGGGGGTCCCTGGGGCGGCTTATTTCCTGTCACTGAGGAGGGTGAGAAGGCCTAGTCCAGTCCTGCTGGAATCACACCAGATCCCAGCCTTATTTTGACTCCTCTGGTTGTGCTGAGGCTTGGGGAGACTTTCCCCTTCCATGCAGCCTCCACTCAGCTCCTCTCTTACCTGGACAATCTGACGTCTGTTACTAGCTTGTCCCAGCTAGAGCGAGTGGCTGAGTGGCTTCCCAGGCCTTTCATAGGACACTTATTGCCTTCATTTTTTTTGTTATAGATTACATAAAATACATAAATATTAATATATTTTGTGTGTCATCGCCCAGATCAAGCTAGAGTGTTACCATGACCCCAAATTTCTCCTTGCTCCTGCCCTTTATCAGTCAACCACCCAATTCCTGCCATGGTTAAGCCCCAGACTGCCACAATCACAGCTGCCTCTTCCATCCTCACAGCCATCTCCTTTTATCCTATTATCCCTGTTCACATAGGATAAAACTTAGGCTACTGTATTGGCCTTTTTCATCTGGCCCAATCCAAATACTGCTACCCTCAAGTGAGGGGGGGTGAGCGGTGGAGAGCCTTCAGGGATTTACTCTAGACCTATCTTCCCTGAACTGGGTACAGCACAAGGTCCCATGTGGGATGTGGAAAGAGCACCTTCCCACACTGAGTAGTGTTGTGACTTCTTAGAAGTAAAAGGCCCAATTATAAACTAGCCTTCTCAGTATTTGATATTAAGCAGAAACAAAACACAAAAGCCCTTTTGGGGCATGATAATGGGACAGGGGTTGTTTTTAAGTGTCTTACTGACACACATTCAGAGTGGGGTGGGAGTGGCTGGAGGTACAGATGAAACATCAGCAGCCATAAAAACTGAGCAGTATCTGTACTAGTCCTCCAGACCAAACCTTGCTTCTCCTTGGAGTGCCTCACCCAAGGTACCTGGGAAGTCTGTTCTGATTGCAGCTCTCCATGCTGCAATGCAGACTCAAAACCCTACACCCAGGCCTGGGAACCTAGACTGTAAAAGCTCCCACCTATTCGCCTCTGTGGGCCTGTGATCGCTGACCTGAGACCTGCCCTGCACTTGTCACCGTGAAAAAGGTCATGCTTGTGCAAGATGCAGAACTAAATACACCTTTATTTCACACAGTGCGATCCAGCACAGGCAGAAAGTTCTCCATCAGTCATGATTGGTACCCTATTTCCATTTGGTACATCACTGAAAACCTGTTTTGTTAAAAATCACACAAAAGATCCCTAGAGAAAACTGATCCAATTGTTCCCCCCAAACAATAGATTATTTTTTTACTGGGCAAATCAGTGCCTGCTGACAGGGAAACACAACTCAAACCTGAGTTACAGTCATCACCACGGCAGACTGCACTTGTTTTCAAGTATATAAAGACTGACTTGAATAGCAAAGAGCCTAATTTGACTGCTATCAGCCACCAAGAAGTCAAGATGCAAAGCAAGAACACGTGGAAATTTCTCTTCCTGGAAATTCAACCCACGCCTGTGTGAGCAAGCATCCAAGACACCAGCGAGGCAACAGTGCTGATCAGGGGGCCCGTTCCCGTGGGGATGTGCATAGCCTGGCCTCTCCCCCTCAGGGCTGTCTCTGGGCTCCACGTCAGCTTGGTCTCCGGTCTCGTGGCAGCAACTTGGTTGGTCTTTACAGTTCCCAGACTATCCTGGCTGAACCCGTGATCAGTGTGTCCTGTCCCAAGTGCAGATGTTCCAGTGGTATGGAAGTAGTTTGCATGTATATATATGATGACTCCTATGGGAGACAAAGCTTCCTTCTCTTTAGCAAGAGAACACTGCAGCCGCGACATCGCTTGGCTAGCTCTTCTTCCTGTGTTCCCTCATGTGCGCAGCAATCGAACCAGCTATTTCTGCGTTCCTCTTGTTCTGGCCAAAGTAATCCAGAAACTCACCATCTGGCCCAATCAAGTACATTATTATTGTATGATCCACCTGCAGGGATAAAAGGGGTTGGGGGGGGGAGGTGGAAATGACAAAAAGATTGCTAAAATTAGCTGCTAGTTTTACAGAATAAATGCTACAGTATGAGAGAACTTCACATTAATGTTTCATAACCTCTGCTGCATCTATTATTTTTTGAATGACCTGAGACTATTATAGTATATTCAGCTATAAATTACCTAAATCACTTGGATTCCTAAAATTTGCACCAACCACTGCTTGAAATACTAGCTAGAACTTTGAGTTTCTTTTGGTTTAATCCCTAACACACACCTGGACATAGACATGAGCAAAGACTTCGCTGTGAGAAAGGGCTGCTGCAACCCTCAGGAAGCAGTCAGCTTGTGGACTAGCACTATTTCTAAAGAGAATTTTAAGAGTAAAATATTCTGTCTGATCCACTAACCATACTATAAAGTGAAATCACAGGGAATTAAAAATTTTGGTGAGAAATTACTTAATAGTTTTTGGGTATATTTGTGTTTTAGGAAGAACTGGTTTTCATTTTTACAGAAATGTTTCTTACCATGTTTTGTGAAAAGAAACCAGAAAGTGAATTACAGACCTTTAATTTGTAAATTCTAATGCAGTGTTTAATCCTAACATTAGTGACTCAAGTGGAAATGTGAAAATACTTTTATCCCGTAAGAAATGTATATCCTGCATTGAACAACCCCCTACCTGAAGCACATCATCTGGGAGTTCCTTAGGAGCCATAAATGCTACATCTCCAATAAGTCATCTTAAATCAATTATCAATTTTCCTGACAAAGGTCTAAAATGTTCCTAGCTCTAACTTTAGATCAGTCAGCAACTTTTAGTTATATGCTTCCACAACACCCAATTTTAAATGAGCAAAAGGCTTGGCCCTTGAGTCCTAGGAATTTATAGCATTATTAGATTACTATTTTGCAAGACAAAGAGAGGAATGTGATCACACATACCAGACTGGAGACACCCCACAAATGTACCCAAACATATATTACATGCCTGTGAGGTTATTTTTTAAAGTGCAGTTATAAAGAGCAAATGGAAAAATCCACTTGCTTTCTCACATAGGGAAAGAATGTGCATAGAGCTAAAACAGCTGGTGATTTCATGTGTCTCAGAGCAGTTTAGTGTAGGAGTGGCATAGAGGGCCCATGTTTCTCCATACTTTTGAGATTTAAGTCAGAGTTAGATCTCCAGTCTGTTCTTTCAAGTCTTACTCAAGTAGCTTATAACCCCCTTCCTCCCTTGTTTCTTTTCTATTCTTTCTTTTCCTTCAAAAAATGTAATTTTATCATGTTGATTCATTTTATGATATTATTAATATAAATTACTTTCTAGTATAATCAAAATATTATTCTACCTTTATCTGTCAAACCTGTCAATGGTCAAGTCTCATATGCAAACTGCCAACTCTTTCTCATAGACAGTACTTTCAAGTTCCATAGTTTCTAATATAGAAAAGGTAAATGTGTATTGACTGTCCTTCATGTGTCAGCTTAACCCAGGAGACATATTATCAAGTATTCTATCAATAATACAATTATTCTATCAATAATTATTAATATTCTATCAATAATACAAGGCCTGAGAGGGTTTCAAAACAATTATCTGTTCATATCACCATGCTGCCACAATCCTGACTGGAGCTCTACTGCTGCGGGCAGTGACTCAATTTTTTCCTAAAGTACTTGACACACACACACACATTTTTGAAAAGGTTAACATATATACATAAAACAAACAAAATACACAATAAACTTATGCAATGAAAGTCTTCCCTTCCTCCTTCGATTCTGAGCATCCCTCAGTTCACCTCAGAGGGAGCCACTAGATTCTTTTGCAGTCTCCAGAGAAAACCTCTGCATTTACTAGTGTGTATACATGTGTGTTTCTTTTTGAGAAGGAACAATGTTTCTTATTTAACAATACACTAGACACTGTTCTCTTATCAGTGGTCTATTAAAATAATTGATCCTTTGGATTTCAGTCTTTTTTCTTTATTGAAGGATAAATTTCAAGAATTAGGCTCTGTAACGTAGAAAGTATCTTATTTTACATGTTGGTAGTAGATACTGGCAAACTGGCATCAGTACAGATTGTATTAGTTTAATTCCTAGCAACAATGCATGAAAGTACCTTATGTGACAACTCACTACAACAGTGCATTTCCTGCTTTCCCAAATTATCTATTTTGATGATACATTTCAAATTTTTGGCTTCACCGATCTAACATATAATACATGGCATTATGTTATATAATTTACATCTCTTACTATGAGTAAAATTGGGGATTTTTTAGGTTTGAAAGCTATTTGTATTTTTTAAAAACTATTTTCTAATTCATACTTATAGAGCAATATAGTATCATATACATGTGCATATGGACATTAATTTTTAAATATGTGCATTAAAACACATGATGTGCACATTTAACTTCCAAAGGAAACTCAAATGTTTAGCACACTCAGTTCACACACACTATATATCAATCTGAAAATTGTACCAGCAGGTAAAGACAGAAACTTACCTTTAATTGTTGTTGTCTGAGATTAAGAAAACCTCACTCCATTATATCTCAACCTTTGAGGCACTTCCTCATTCTTTGCAGGTCCTTAAATCTTAAAAGAAGTTTCCCATACCATCTTGTGAATGAAAATCTGTGACCCCAAGGGACAGAAGTCATACTAATGAAACACCTAAGCTGGAGAAAGTCTCCCCCTATTGGTCAATTTAGCTCATGCATACAAAAGAACTCACTGATTCTTATCAAAAGGTCACAACGTTATGGCAATAGACCAGTAATTCTCAAAATAGGGTATAGATGTATTCCAGGAATCTGAGAAGTCTTCATCGCACTAAAATATTTGCATTTTAATTTTTGAGATTAAAAAATTAATGTCCATATTCAGAATTTTCTGTATGACTCTTTTATAACCGAGGACAAATCTCAGTGACCAGACCAGTTTGACTGCTGTTTATCACTAGTACTATATATAGCTAGGTATCAATCTCTCTATATATCTAGATATACACACACAGATGTATGTATGTGTATGTGTGTATAGGTACTACATAGCTATATACTACTGGGTATTATAGGCACATAACAGGAGAATAATTCATTCTTGCTAAGTCAAGACCAAATAGTCAAGGTACACTACACATCAAAGGTTTCAAAGTACTTTAAAGATTTATTTTTATTTATTTATGCTTATAAGGACTGGGGTATAGGCCAGAAGTGCAGTTGGTGAGAGGATTCATCAGAGACAGAATGGGGACCAGAACAGGCAGATTTATTCCAATATACTAAGGGGTGGGGGCGGCAATGAGCAAGACAGGAGAAGTCTGTTGACATATACAGCTTAGCTCCCAGCTAGGATCAATCTCAGGCTGCAGCGGCAAAGGATTTAACTCATATGCCACCAGGGAGGCACTCAAAGTACTTTAAATAAAAAAAAAAATCAGTATCATGAGTGGCAGCTGACAATACAGTTGGGCATCTGGTAGATGACCCAGCCTGCACTCCTGTGGTGAGCACTGCTTTGTCTTAAGCAAAATATCTCTTGTTGTATTACCTGGATTTGTCATGGAGCTTTATAGGTTGTTTGACTTTATTTGTCATATGTTTTTGACTTTGGAGTTGCGAGCTATAAAAACAAGACTAAGAAGTGACACATAGTTTACCCTGGAATGTAAGTCAGACTAATTAGCTCACTAGCTCCTGCTAACTCTCAGATTATGTTCAAAACCAGTTAATGCAACTGGTACGTAAGAGTACGTAAGAGCCATGGCCTCCTTGCTCCTTGCCTCTCTTCTCATTCTTCTTACATTGCTGGTGTAAGGAGAGTAAACCAGAATAGGCTCTGCTTATTTTCCTTAAATTTAGGGCTTAAAGCAAAATCCTCATTTTTTTTTTTTTTAATCTTTTTTGCTCATGAATTCAAGTTTCCCTAGGTCTATGCAGCATTAGACTTGGAAATAAGATTACTGTGTGGGCTTAAGGCCAAGGAGTCAGAAATCTGTTTTTAACTTACACCACAGGTCATAGGTCACACAATGTGCTTCAGGTTCAAAGGTGACAGACTATTGTAGGCCATAAACAAAACAGCACTTCAGTGAGATGTCTCCTTTGCACATGCTCTTGGTACATGACCACGGGTAGCTGGACAATCAGACACTTACAGTCTAGCTATCCTCCTATAAAACTAGCTTAGTAGCTGCAAAGACTCATGACTAATTACTGTCCAACTGAATTACAGTATAGTCAACCAATATGACAGAAAAAACAAAACGTGACAGTTAAAGGGGAAAAAGTAAAGTAGCACTAAAATAAATGCCAACTCAATGTGATAGGAAAAAATGTCCACATTGAGAAGAAAACTGGACACTATGCCCTTCACTGGTGCTTCACTGTGAAACCGCTGATAACAAAAGGAACAGAATAACTAGGGCACTGGTCTAGGTCTATTTTTAAAAAACATAGTAAAACACCTAATTGTGCAAAGCATATAGCTGCTGACAAAGTAAACTTTAGAAAAGTCTACTTTCTTAACTTTCATACTTTCTCTTGCTTTTGCAATTCCTATTCAATCCTAAAATGTAGTCCCCCATGACATACCACTACTTCTCAAAAGAAGCTTATCTTATACCTCTTCATTAGGGACACAAAGAGAAACACTACAATATTTTAAAAATAAAACAGGCTTTGCCCCAAAATGATAGCTTCTCATTATATCCAGCATGGTACCCAACATCGATTTTATTGAATCTTATATATCACTGATTTTGGTGCCATTAGAAAAGAACAACAGGAAATTAAATAATGAAAAGTTAATTATGGTAAGTCAAACAAGCACTCTTTACACACACTTATTTCTACTATTCTTTCAAATTTTCCCAATTTGCACAAAGTCAGAATTTCTGACATCGCTGCCCCAGAGGATGAAACTTGAGCATCTACTTACTATATAGTCCTCATCTTCATCCTTGGGGCCAGGGCTGTAATACACTCTGTACGCTCTGGCCACTTGATCAATCTCTTCTTTTGTGCCAGTCAAGCCAACCAGTTTGGGAGAAAATTCTAAGAAAATAAATTTGAGAAAAACGTAAAAAAAAAGAAGAAAAACAACCACCCTAATTCAAAAAACTGCACCATCTGTAAAGTAGTCCTCTGAGTCCCTAAAGATTTTTTCATGATGAAGGAAAAAGATTCACATAGAATAAATGAACCCCTTCCCCCCTTGTAACAGGTAATATTGACCAAAACGGATTACAATCTGGGCCATAAAACAAATCTTGAGAAATTTAAAAGATTAGAAATCAAATAATGTCTGCTCTCAGACTGCAATGGAATCAAACTAAAAATCAGTAACAAAAAAATCTGGAAAATGCCAAAATACGTGAGGATGAGTCATTTCTATACATTACAAGTCACAGAATATATCAAAAGAAATTTTAAAATATTTTGAACACAGAAAAATGACATCAAATTTTGTGCAATGCAGAAAAAACAGGGCTTAGATGGAAATTTATAGCTTTGAATGCTATAGATATTAGAAAAGATTTGCTATAGATATTAGGAAAGATCTATAATCATTATCTAAAAGAAAAACATATTAAACTCAAAGTTAGTAGAAGAAATGAATCAGCAGAAACCGATGAAACTGAAAACAGGAAATAGAAAAAAAAAATCAATGAAATATTTTGGTTCTTTTTCCTATATAATAAAGAATCTTCTACAACAATCCAGTAATGATTTGGCAGGGCTATATTTTAATTATTTAAGCCACATTTTAAATTGTAATTTTAAATTTTTTCCAAATATTTAAGAGATATAGCTGTTGTTTAGAAGTATTCTCATACATTAAATATCAGTCTTTAATTGTATCATTAGAAAAAAGAAGTCTGTTTCACAATTAGTTCATAAATAGGTCAAAATAACTATATCTCACTTTCCAGTAAGCTACCTCCAATGTTTTTACTATTAAGATTTGGAATTTATGTAAGCAAGCTGGTGGAAGTCACTCAAAACATCGAGATTCATTAGACTACTAAGATGAGACTACAAAATTTAACATTACTATCTTCTTCCAAAGGTAAAGAAAGTCTACATTAATTCCTTCCACTAATAATTCATTTGAAACTGACAGTTCAGGTATAGAAAAGGCAAGTTGTCTTGCCTTTCTTTTCCACTGTGTTAATGAGAAAGGCAAATAAAACCTGAATTTGTTGTACATCCAAGCCTTTGTCCAAATTTCAGCAATTTTCTAAATACCAACATAAATGTTCTTAAATCTTCTCAAAAGAGAATGATTACATAAACCACCATGTCTACGTGCTGTTCAAGAAAATCACGGAGGACTACGGCATTTCAGTTACTATAGCAACTCAGATGTCTATTCATTGGGGGTATTTGTAGTCTAGTTAATATGTGATATTTAAAATAACTGCCAGTGCAAAACACATTTAAAAGGAGGTGGTTTATCTCCCAATGAGTTATAGCTGCCTTTTACTGCCTTAGGAAGTAACTATGGTATTGTCCAAAGTTCTGACAAACTACACTGTGGACACAAATTCTACTTACATATATTAAAAATGCTAAAACTTCAAGGAGAAAACACAAATCTCTGTAACCTTGGGTTAAGTAAAGATACCTTACATGCGACACCAAAAGCATTATCTATAAAAGAATTAATAAAAAACTTCATCAAAATGGATGAAATGACAAGCAAGAGACTAGGAGAAAGTATCTGCAAACTATGTACCTGATAAAATACTTGTATTAGGAATATAAACAAATAAAACAAACAAGTGGGCCCTGTAAAAAAATGGGCAAAAGATGTAGAGACATTTCACCAAAGACAGAAATGGCAGATAATAAAACTATGCTTAACATGAAGTTTTTAGGGAAATGCAGACTACAGCCACAAATAAGGATCACTAAATACCTACTGAAGTAGTTAAAATGTAAAAGACTAAGTATAATGTAAAAGACTTAAGTATAATGAGGATATGAAGAGTTGGGCTCTCATACACTTGCTAATCCAAACATAAAACTTGAAAACCACTTTGGAAAACAGTCTGTCAGTTTCTTAAAAAGTTAGACACCATTTGATCCAAACACTTCACTCCTACCTATTTGCTGAGGAGAAATGAAAGATGTGTTCATATACAGACCTGTATGAATGCTCTTAGCAGCTTTATCTGTAATAGCCACAACCTCAATGGTTTGGAAAAAATCTGCAAGTCCATCAATGGAATGCTATTCAGCAATAAAACTGAATGAACTATTGAATCATGTTAAAATATGAACCTCAAACTAACCATGCTGAAAGAAGCCACTGAAAAAAATAGTACATACTGAATAACTCCATTCACATAAGCACCCAAAGATAACAAACCACTACTGACAGAAATCAGATTGCTGGTTGCCTGGAGAAGGAGGTGGTTGAAGGGAAGGAATGAAAGGGTTAAGAGTATGTAAGGAACTTATGGAGGGTGACAGCTATGTTCACTTCTTGATCATGGTGATGGCTCCACAAGCACAAACATGTTAAAGATAACAAATGGTACATTTCACGTGTAAACTATATTGTATGTCAACAATATCTCTTTAAAAGTGTTAAAGTAATAAAACATACAGCAGGTCCCTCCCAAACCACATTGTTAAGGAACTTCAGTTCTGGAAGTTATACATTATATTTTGTTATAAAATGAAAATAAACATAAAACTATGAGTTAGTCCTTCTGACCAGTAGTTTAAATCAATTTCACCAAAATTAAAATTCAAATTCCTGATTTTTAAGCACTAATGTTTCAGACACTAACATACTGTCAACAAAGATTGTCTGACCTTTTTTATTTTCATCACATTTTTAGGCAAAATAATTTGAATCCAGAAAAATTAAGCAACTTGTACATTTATAAGAGTAAATACCCACCATTAATTCTACCAAAATTTATAGTATCTCAGAATGCATGTTTTAACCTGCATATTGAGACATTTAAATTGAAATTCTTTAATAGCTATAAATGTGTCTCTATAATAAATGTTCTGGATTTAGGAAATACACAGAGTTCAAAATGTGCTTATATTAACATTTATCTCATCCTTCAATGTACAGACTCCCAGGATATGTGTTTATAGGAGAGAGAATTAGAAGCAATGTGTCCTTACCCTCAATTCAAGCTGCTAATTTTGTTAATATCAATTATCTTTGTCAGAGGTGTAACAAAAAGAAAAAGTGCACTGCACCAGGAACTGAGAAACCCATTTCTCATTTACTAGCTACAGTCACAATGCTGAGCCCTACTCTTTGTCTTATTTGTTTTCCTGTTTCACAAGGTATAGTAAGGTTCAAACGAGATGATTTTCTAAAAACTCTAAGAGCTAAACAGACAGAAAATATTGATGAAACACACCTTTCACATAATTGGCGATGGCTTCTTTTGTGTCCCTTTCTGGGTCAATAGTGATGAAAAGTGGGGTTAAATTCGGCAGAGTTGGAATACTGTCTGAAAGATAGTTTGAGTTAGTCACTATTCACACTCTAAGGAACAAGCCAAAACTAGCAATTATGACTATCAGAGTGCTATAGCAAGGTTTTCAGGAAACACATAGGGACATCTCACATGTGAGATGATGGAGAAGGAGAAGCGACAGCTTCCAGTAACAGCAGCTGATGCATGTATCTGTGGAGGAATCACATCAACTAACCTATCAAATGCCTGCTCCAGATCATACATGTTACCTGGGTCACACCATGTAGAGGTTTTCCAATTTAACAGATACAGAAATTGTTAACCTCCTAACTCCAATTTAACAGATACAGAAATTGTTAACCTCCTAACTCAAGGCAAGGTCAACTATTCACTCACAATGGTACTAACAAATGCCACACGGTGACTAGTTTATGTGTATCATAAACTAGAAAAGATTTTCCCAAGTCTAAATATTAGTCACTGGGGAAAGGGTTACAGGAGTGTCAGGGATGGGAGGGACAAAAAGCAGAGTTAGGAGAGATCAGACCATATCAAAGTTTTTTAAGCATCTGTTATTTATGATCAAAATAACTTTGTTTAGTAAATATGGTCAAAGGAATCAAAGCAACAAATGTCTAATGCTGACATTTTATGTTCTCACAAATCAAACAATGATAGTAATCCACTTACCAGTAATATAAGAATGTGAAAGTACAGTGACATGAAGTAAACACACTTTTTCTAATTAGCTTTCTTACCTATTTCATCCACAACTTGAATCATTTTCTCTAATTCTTCTGGACACACATCAGGACAGTGAGTGAAACCAAAGTAAATCAACACCCATTGGCCCAGGTAGTCTTTATCAGTTTTGGGCTCTCCAACATGTGTTGTAAGGGAAAATGGGCCCCCAAGTAAAGGCTTTCCAATGCTTCGCTGCCGCTGCTTCTCTAGCTCTTAGAGATACACACACACAAAAAAAAAAAAAAAAAAAGAAAGAAAGAAAAAAGTCAGTCTAACTGCGGGTACTCAAATGCCTGGGGGGTGGGCACAAAATGTAGGATAGTAGTCTTTAAGAAGTATAAAAAACAAACACAAAACAAAAATGAATGAATTTTGTATTTTAATGTTGTATAAGTAAGGACTATAAGAAAAAAGTGGTAAAATTATTTCCTACTTTTCTACAGTTTGGTGTAAGCCATCATGTATAAAGGACCCAGGAACAGCACAGAACTGAGGTTCTATTCAAACTTCTAAATATTTTCCTGGGCTCCCATAGTTGCCTAGTGGTGAACTCTCAGCACCACCACGGCAAAGGTCCACCATGATGGCCTGAGTTTGGTCCCTTGCCAGGAAGCTAACCCACATATGGTGCAGCAGACTTCTCCTGTCTGACCCACTGCTCCCCTCAATAGTATATTCCAGTAGATCTGCTATTGTGCTCCCCACTGTCTCTGGTGACTACTTTCACCCTCCGCACCTCTAGCCTGCACCTCAGTTCTAACCACAGTTCTATGAAATCTCATGCCCAGATTAAAAGATAAAGACAAAATTTATCCTTTGTATATGGTATCGAGATATTTGGGTCATGTTATTGTTAGACAGTAGTATCTAGGATGGGATCCCAGAACCGATAAAAAACACGAACTCAAAAACAAGTGAAATTAAAAGGAAGTTGGAAGTTTAGTTAATAGTACTGTACAAATTTTAACTTCTGATTTTTGACAGATGAACCATAGTTATCTAAGATGTAAATATTAGGGGCAACTAGGTGAAAGTTAATGGGAATTCTCTATGCTATCTTTACAACTTGGTAAATCTAAAACTGTTTAAAAATTAAAAACTCTAGTCTTTAGTCAGAAAAAATTTTATTCAAAGCTGACCAGATGAAATCTACTTACTCTCTGTCTTTTCTTTCTTGAAGTATTTCATCCCAGCCAATAAAGCTCCTCCAATAGCAAATGTGAATGCTAAAGACTTCCAGGAAACAGGCTACTGGGGCAGAGATTTCAAAAATAAAAATACTAGTAAGATACAAATATTTAACGATGCTAAATTAATTATCAGTAGCTTTTCATACATACAACCATGGGCAGGCCCTGCTCTAAAGGTGCAAAATATTTAAATTTACTAGGTAACCTCAATGTAATTTGAATGGATGCAGTTCAATTTGGGTTCCTAACACAGACAATGCAAAGGCATTTTCAAGAGAAAGTTCCTTAAGTGATTTTCATGTGAAAAAAGACTCAAAAGTCAAGCGTCATGACTGTTAAAGAGTATGCACGACGCTGACTCCAATTTGGGATAAAAACCAATTCATTTTCTGCTTGTGCTGATAAAGCTTATAAATAAAACCAAATAAATAGAAGGGCTAATTCTAACGCTGTCTTGGAAAAGTAACAAAAACGGTATAAGAGCCATCTAAAAGTGTAGTTTTTTAGATGCATGACAATTGCATCAAGTTCTGTCTGCCTACTCCTTTTTCAAGAAGATAAATGGTAAGAGGTTGACTACCCAGGTGTCAAGTGACAGAAATCCTAAGAATGCTGACTCCGGAAACTTCAAGTAACCTCAAGAAAATTTGAATCGGGCTCTCGCTGGTGGCTCAAGGGGTTAAGTCGCAGCACTATGAAGACTGCTGCAGCCACTGCAGCAGGAGTTGGATCCCCAGCCAGGGAGCTGACCCACATGGCGCAGCAGACCTCTCCCGTCTCACCCGCTGCTCCCCTCAGCTGTGTATTTCAGTGGATCTGCCTGTTCTGCTCCAGACTCTGCGTCTGGTGAATCTTTGCAACCCAAGTACGTCTAGCCTGTACCCCAGTTCTTACATGCATAGACAAATACATCTTTAATTAAAAAAAGAAAAGAAAAACAAAAACTGAAACTTTCCAGCAAGAGCAAAAGCTAGGTAAAAATTCAAGCCCGAGAATCAAACCGCGTGGAAAGAAGTCGGTTTTCAATCACTTTTAGGCTGGGACTTCCGGCAGACCGGGACAAGGGATGAGACCGACCTAGCTGAGTGGCTGAGGACAATTACAGGCGACATCGAGTGGTTCCGGAGGTTATGACCAAGTAGGGTTGGAAGGGCACAAGGCTGTCTCACCGCCACAGCGAGCAAACGAAGGACTCACCCCTGGCTTCGAGGTGCGTTTCGGGTCTTTGCGGTCCTTCGGATCTGTCCCCGATGATCCCGGAGGTGATGGCATCGCCGTGCTGAATGGCCGACTTCCCAGGCAGCAGCCTGCGAGCCCCGAGGGCAGCCACCCCTGCCTTGGCCGTAGGCAGCCTTGCCTCCGCAAGACCCTCGCAGTTCCTTCCGCCGGTACCCAAGGCAAGAGACGCCAAAGCCGAACGCCCGGAGGCCGCATGACCTGCCGGACTCCCAAACACAGGGCTGCCATGAGCTCAGGGACCGCGCCTCCTTGGACCCGCCCCCGACTTCCGGCGCCGTTTCCGCTTTTTCCGGAAGTAGGGAGGAGCCGCTCTTCTCACCCTACTCGCTGGTGGCGCGGCCGCCGAGCGGGTAGTCAGGCGGTGTCTAGCCCTGGAGCCGGCGCGCGGTAGGTGGATCCTCGCGGCAGGAGGCGGGTTCCGCCGCCCTGGCGGGAAGGGCAGCGGGCCCGGGAGAAGGGCGCACTTCGGGGTTCGGTGTGGGTGCTGGGTCTGGGCCGGGGTCCGATGGCTGAGGAACTTGATGGCTCGGGAGCTTGAGCGACTGCCGCCGGGTCTCGCCGGGCTCGGGAGAGGACACAACGTCCGGAGACCGGCGGGAACCGACAGCTCCTAGCCCACCCCTGTCGCCCTGGGTGGGCCCATTGCAGGGCGCCGAGGGAAGATGTGCGGTTGTTGGCCTCTTTGGTCTCCAGACAAATTGCACTTGGCATTTGACTTTGTGTGATTTGAATGGTTAAGGTGGCAATGGGCAGTTAAATACGATCGAAGTGCTTGACTAATGTCATTCCCATTAGTCAGAAACAACAGCACTGTTGGGAGAGCTATATAACCAGTCAAAACCCTTTCCTTAATTTTGTCTCTCAGGGCGCCAGTTTCTTAAAATCCTCTCGCGGACTCCCTTGCCCTTTTCATTTTCAAGCTTTAAAGTACGTCGAGTTCTTCATCTGGGACTGCTTGTCTTGTTTTGAGTACAACGCGCCACGCTGTGGGGAGAAGATTGGGGGTGAGGTGGGAGATGCAGAGGTAAAAAGAGATGACCAAACAGAAAAGGGGATTATTGAAACACCCTGCTAAGAGAAGCAACGGGTGAGACCCGAGAGCTGGGTGCTGGAAGAAGTGTTTGGGCTCCTTTTTATAACCTGTTTCCTCGGGCTATTCGTGGTGGAGAGTTAGTTGGTTTGTGTCAGTAAATGCTGGAATGTGTGGTCTTGAGCCTTAACCTTTCATACTGAATGTGTTCCCGGCCCACTTCGCTATTCTGGGGTGAAGTGATCAGTCTAAGGCCTGGTTTCCATAGCGACCTTATCAGTTTCCTTTACCCAAACCTCTAAACCTTCCTGCAGGGCAGGAAGGGTGGGAGTTTTAGGTTTAAATTTATTAAACAATACCCCTAATACGCCTTACTAATGTGGCTGGCAGCATTTGCTAGGTTTCATTCTCTGTGAAATGAAATAAACTTGAATTCATTTTACCTACCATTGTTTATATCTCAGTGTGTGTGCTCTTTACACCTGCCTTTCTCCCTTGATGGATTAGCATGACAACGAAAGGGAAAAATCACCAAAATCTCTTTCTTAACCACAGATCCTGTTTTTACAAAGTGAATGTTATCACTGAGTCTAGCTAAGCAGAAGCCAAGGCCCAGTGATAATGGGACTGAAGCCTAGTGATTTTTGTGAGTTTGGTTGACTAGAGTGTTCCTTTTCTGATTCAGTAAAAGTTGTCCTTTCATTTGAAACAAACAGTGGAGCCTGGAGACCATCAAGGAAGAAAAGCTTATGCAGAAATGGAATTGGTACTTTCCACCCACATAGCCACAACTTTCTTGAAACATTCATCTTTCCACATGTAACTGGATTTGGGAGGACTTTACTACGGCTGTTCACTTAGTAACCAATCATGTATACACAGGTATAGTTTTTTTTTTTTTTTTTAAGATTTATTTATTTGTACATACAGAACGGGGGAACAGCTGGTGCATAAAGCAACATGGATGAATCTCAAAATAACTTTGTTTAGTAAATATGGTCAAAG